GTAGTAGTAGTGGTAGTAGTAGTAGTAGTAGTAGTAGTAGTCGTAGTAGTAGTAGTAGTAGTAGTAGTAGTAGTAGTAGTCGTAGTAGTAGTAGTAGTGGTGGAGGGAGGGCGGGGCGAGATGACAGTTCCTGCGAGGGAGGGGGCGGCAGCCGCAGCTCCGTCCACTTCGTGGGAACGTGGCTACGCAGCCAGACCGCTCCATCAGCAGCATGCTGTGCCAGAGCCTTCGGGAGTAGCTCTGCAGACCTCTGAGTGATTAGGCCTCGACACCCTCGTCGACCGAGCACACTTCTAGGAACGATGCAGATGGGTCCCCACGCAGACCTGACACCTCGAACAACGCGGGCATTCGTGAACCTTGGATCTCGCTGCTGCTCTCCGTTCCCTTGGCCATGCTCTTCCCGCTGCAATCGATTTCAGCCAGCCTATGTCCACGCGGTAAGTGTTCCAAGTAGCGTAACATAATCTGCAGCGAATGGGAACCAACTCCGTGCTCCAAGCCAGACCCGCAAACGTGACAAGACTCTCGAGCCCAACATCCAACTGTTGAGGAATGGCCAACGTCGTCCTCGAATCAGGCATGCGAATGTTTAGGCGCCTGTTCATCATGATAATCGGGTTCTGGAGATTGTCGCAAAACTTCATCAGACAAGTGTCAGCACAGCGTGGTTTTCGAAACAAGAACGGGCGTCAACGTAAAGGGACGCCCGTCCGAATGGGAGGCGGAGGAGGAGGAGGATGAGCAGGAGGAGGACGAGGAGGACGAGGAGGAGGAGGAGGAGGAGGACGAGGATGAGGAAAAGGAGGCGGCGGAGGCTGAGGGGGAGGAGGAGGAGGAGGCCGAGGAGGAGCAGAAGGAGGAGGGAGAGGAGAAAGGAGAGGAAGAGGAAGAGAAGACGAGAACATGAATAATACAAGTAACACAGGTAGTGACAGGACTAGTAAGAAGCATCCTACGTTTACTGGGAAGAAGAACCATAACCATACGACGGATACGCATAATAATGCTATTGGAGGAGGCGGAGAAGGAGGAGGAGGAGGAGGGGCAGGGGGAGGGGAGGGGGAGAGGGGGAGGAGGCGGAGGAGGAGGAGGAGGGGCTGAGGAAGCGGAGGAGGAGGACGAGGGTGATGAGGAGGGAGAAGAGAAACAGGAAGACGACGAGAACAAGGATAGTACACTTAAACAAAGTAATGATTGGAAGACGGGTAAGCATACTACTTTCAATGAGAAGAAGAGAAATCCGAAACATACGACGGAGGGAGGAGGAGGAGGTGGAGGAGGGGCAGGGGGAGGATGAGGGAGAGGGGAGGAGGAGGGGGAGGAGGAGGAGGAGGAGGAGGAGGAGGAGGAGGAGGGGCAGGAGGAGGAGGAGGGGGAGGAGGATGAGAAGGAGGAGGACAAGTGTACACCCAAGAGCCATCAACGATGTTGGAGTTAACACTCCCTCCAAATTCCCTCTTCATCGGCCTCTACAACGGGTCATTTTCACTGAGGGAATTTGCTTCGTTTGAAGACAGCCGTTTGAAGACCCTGAAGCATGTCAAAATATTGTTCTTGGGATTCCAGCGCGACGGATCAACCTGACCGTGGCGTTGTGACGATCCTGAATCGTGCCAGGACGCCATCCCTGGAGCTTTGAACACCGCCAACGAACGCAACTGTTACACGCACATAATCCTCAATCTTTCCAATACGCCGTTTCTGGTACGTTGATCATGGGAATCGGTAGAACTCTTGCGAATTTTAACAACGAGTGCGCGCGGCGTTACGGCGAGAGCCACATTTTGAAAGCCACCCGCCCTTCATCCGCGAAGCTCTAGCACTTTGTTACAACGAATGCGCGCGGTGCTAAGGCGAGAGCTGCATTTTCAAAACGGCCCGCCGTGCATCTGTGAAGCTCTTGCCCTTGTTTACGCTTCAGGGTCATGAATGGTGAGGATGTCTCAGGCGAAACGCCCGGCCCGCCCCACAAACTCGGACTCACGAAGGTGAAGCACAATTCAACTCCCCGTTGGCTCTCCTCGCGTCTTTTGCGCGCGCACGCCGCCCACCTGCCGCTGCTTTCGGGCTCAAGGGTGGGACCGCTTGCTCACCAGGGGGCGAGACAGGGTGGGACCGCTTGAGTGCCACAGGGGTGCGACAGGGTTTGTTCACAGTCATGGGGCCGCTTGCTCGGGCACGTGCTGCGGCAGGGCCCGGTCGTTCGGGGCAGCGGCCGCCTGTCCGACAGAGTCGACCATGTCGCCCCACGACACCCGGCCCTCCAGGGCAGCGGCCCGAGGAGGAGGAGGAGGAGGAGGAGGAGGAGGAGGAGGAGGAGGAGGAGGAGGAAGCTCGCGGCACAGTTTCTGAGCCGCCGGGCGCTGCAGGCGGCAGGCGTCCTCGGCCTTGGGCTCCGGGCAGGCCAGGCGCCGGGCCGCCTGGCGGGCTGTGGCGGCGCCGCGCAAGGCCGCCTCGTCTGGCCCCAGGGAGCGCAGCGGCTCTCCCTGTCTGGAGTCTTTGACCAGCTTGCGCAGCGAAGCGGTGGGGTCCGTCTCCGCCGTGAGTTCCTCGAGCGCCGTCGTGTCCTGGCGGGCCACAGCCCCGACCACCCTGGCCAAGAAGAGGTTTGCTCTGGGCGGCCTGGGCGGCCTGGGCGGCCTGGGCGGCCTGCGCCTGCGCCTGCGCCTGCGCCGACCCAGCCAGCCGGGCCCTGGCCCAAGTCGCCCGGCGGTCAGTCAAGCGGTCCCACCCTTCAAGGCTCGGGGTGCGACAGGGTTTATTCATAAAGAGCGAGAATGGAGGAGGTGGAGGAGGAGGAGGAGGAGGAGGAGGAGGAGCAGGAGGAAGAAGCGGAGGAGGAGGAGGAGGAGGAGGAGGAGGAGGAGGAGAGGAGGAGGAGGGAGGGAGGAGGGGGGAGGGGGAGAGGGAGAGGAGGAGGAGAGGGGGAGGAGGAGGAGGAGGAGGAGGAGGAAGATGAGGAGGAGAGGAGGAAGGAGGAGGCGGGAGGACGAAGACGAGGACGAGGACGAGGACGAGGAGGAGGAGGAGGGAGAGAAGGAGGAGGAAGAGGAGGAGGAAGAGGAGGAGGAGGAGGTTGACAAGTGTAAACCCAAGAGTCATCGACGATGTTGGAATCAGGAGCCCACGTGAAAACCCAAGAGTCACCAACGTCACCAAGTGCAAACCCAAGAGTCCAAGGATGATGATGATGCTGATGATGATGATGATGATGAGGAGGAGGAGGAGGAGGAGGAGGAGGGAGGCGGAGGAGGAGGAGGAGGACGACGGGGGAGGAGGAGGAGGAGGAGGAGGAGGAGGAGGAGGAGGAGGAGGAGGATGAGGATGAGGATGCGGATGAGGATGAGGATGAGGAGGAGGAGGAAGAGGAAGAGGAAGAGGAGGAGGAGGACGAAGACGAGGACGAGGACGAGGACGAGGACGAGGACGAGGACGAGGATGAGGAGGAGGAGGAGGAGGAGGAAGAGGAGGAGGAAGTGGATGAGGAGGAGGAAGATGAGGAGGAAGAGGAGGGAGAAGCAAGGTCGAGCGGCAGCCGCAGCAGCAGCTGGCCGGGGAGAGGGGGTGGAGTGGGCCTCGCTGCCTGTCGCTTGGCGCGCCGCGCGGCACCTTGCGAGGGGCTCGAAAAGGCCCCCCGCCGCGCCTCGAGACATCCTGCAGGGCCAGGGGTGATCTTACCCGGGTTTGGGTGCAGGATCCTGCAGGATTTTGCAGGATCCTGCAAGGCCCGACTGACCCAGGCTTGGATAGACCCGAGCCAGTACATCCCGACTTCAGGCCGATGTTCGAGGACTTCCACATGGGCGACGTGAGAACACACGGGGTTATTTTCGTCGACATCGGCGCATGCGTTGCCCGCGTAAGGTCGCGCGGAAGCGCCCTCGTCTCCCATTCAACGTGCCACGCCGGCGGCCCGCATGAGCTGCCGCGTGCGGGAATCCGGTCCTGAGGTTGCGTTGTTTTCGGGCCCTCGGGGCCCCCCGCGGGCCCGGGAGTGTCAGACAGCGGCTCATGATGAAGATCTCTCGTCCGGGGGGGGGGCTCTGGGGTCCAGGACCCGTTTCCATCAGGCCCTCCTCCCCGCATATCGCTATTTTTCCCTCGCTTCCCCTTTTTGGGGGTCTCCCAAGATGCTCGATGCTTCCCAGATGGGTTCCGAGCGGATGGGTTCGGAGGATTGCACCGCTCGATGCGAAGCCTGCTTTGTTCAGTGCTGGCGTCGCCGATGTATCACCGACGCATCGCCGAGGCATCACCGATGCACTGGCGATGTGTCGGCGTCGCCTCGACCTGCTGATGCCTCTGTGCGCGTCGCCCCCCAGGGGCGACGCGCGCGCCGAGAAGCCTTGTTGTATGTGCGCGGTGGTGAGCGCTTTCTGGTCACACGGCTCGAGAAGACGAGGGGGAGGAGGAGGAGGAGGAGGAGGAGGAGGAGGAGGAGGAGGAGGAGGAGGAGGACAACGACGAGGACAGGACGAGGACGAGAGGAGGAGGAGGAGGGAGGAGGAGGAGAGGAGGAGGAGGTAGGCGGCGGAGGAGGAGGAGGAGCAGGAGGAGGCGCAGGAGGAGGAGGAGGAGGAGGAGGAGGAGGAGGAGGAAGAGGCGGAGGCGGACGAGGAAGAGGTGGAGGAGGCGGAGGAGGAGGAGGCGGAGGAGGAGGGGGAGGCAGAGGAGGAGGAGGCTTAGGAGGATGAGGAGGAGAAGAAGGAGGAAGAGGAAGAGGAGGAGGAGGAGGAACAGGTGGGGGCTGAGGACTGGGTGGGGGGCCCTTCCATCTGGTGGCTGGCGCTTTCTGGTCACACGGGCGCTCTATTACAAGATGGTGGCGCTATGCGCTTCGGTCGGACGCACGCCTCCAGGGAGGACGCACAGCACTGGTCTGTCCTCCTGCATCCCAGTGTGGCGCGATCCTCCGACGCCACCTGCTCGGACCCCATCCGGGAGCTCTTTACCCAGGACGTTGCGGAGGTGCGGCGCGGCGGCCAGCCTCTGGCCCCCCCGCTCTCGGCAGTCGCCCGGCCGCCGCCTGCGCTCGGGCAGGTCGGAGGTAGGGCAACGAGATCGACACCTGTGCACCGCTCCCTGGCCAGGCTCATCCTGAACCCAGGAGCTGTGTATACGTCCTCCTGGCCAAGCCAGGAGGGCGTGGTGTATACACCGCTTCGGAGGAGGATGAAGAGGAGGAGGAGGAGGAGGAGGAGGAAGAGGAGGAAGAGGTGGAGGAAGAGGAGGAGGAGGTGGAGGAGGAGGGTTCAGGATGGGCCTGGCCAGGGAGTGGTGGGCATGTATAGATCTCGTCGCCCTAGGACCAGGGGCGGGCCGAGGCAGCGGCAGGTGGCCTTCGGGGGGGGGGGCATGCCGTCGCCACGGCTGGACGCAGCTCGGGAGACTGGTGCGTTCGGGCCCCGGGAGGGCACCGGGGACCGCCTCTGAGCCGCCGGTGTCCCAGCTCGCCCTGCTCCGACGAGGCGGACTGATTCCAGGTGTTGTTGTTTCAATCTACGTAGGCCTCCCAGATGGGGTCGGAGTAGATGGGGTCGGAGGGTCGCACCGATGCATCGGCGATGCGACTCGATGCGGAGCCCGATTTTCTCTTCGACGATTGCGCCGATGCTTCGCTGACGTCGCCGATGCATCGCCAGCGCATCGCCGATACGTCGCCGATGTATCGTCGATGTCTCGGCGATGCGGCGCGATCCTCCGACCCTACTTACTTCGAACCCATCTAGGAGGCCTCTAGTGTCCCAGCTCGCTCTGCTCCCAAGAGGTGGACTGTTTTTCGGTATTGTCATTTGAGGCAGCTATTTTGTGTTCATAACGAGTCGCGCGGCGGGGTCGCCGGGCAAGGAAGGGTCTCCTTCGGTCAGCGAGGGCCTCGGTTGTCCTGGCCTCGCCTGCATTTTTTGTTGTGGTCGTGCGGTTTTGTGTCTGTGTCTTGCTGCTGTCTGTGGCTCTCTGTTCTGGGTCCTGGGGTCCCAGGTCCAGGGTCGGAAACGCATTCCGCTCGGGTGCTCGATCGTGCCCGTCCTCCTTGCCAGAACCAGCAGCCTCATTCGCCTGCGCGCAGCAGACTGCTGATGGACCATCGAGGGCCGCCGATGGGGCCGCCGTAGGCCGCGGGAGCTCGCCGGAGATCGCCTGACATTGCTGGTGGCCGATGTGTGGCAGAGGGTTCCGTGAGCGCGCAAGCTTCAGTGGGCGGTCTGGAGATGAGGCCTTGAGGGATGGCTTCCACGTTGAGCTTGCACTGCTCGAGGCCCATCGTCCCTGGGGCGCCCTCTCGAAAAACATAACACTGCATGAATGCCCTCTTTCTTCTCCTCGTCGTCGTCCTCCTCCTCCTCCTCCTCCTCCTCGTCCTTCTCCTCCTAATCCTCCTCCTCCTCCTCCTCCTCCTCCTTGTCCTTCTCCTCGTCCTCCTCCATCAACGTTGAAGGTCCTCCTCCTCCTCCTCCTCCTCCTCCTCCCACTCGTCGTCCTCCTATTCCTCTAGGGGAACAAAAGGTGCATATCTAGGTTGTCACAGAGGTCCGCAAGGATTTCTCGGATCGGCTCTGGACCCCCCCTCGCTGGTGCGCAGAGCGCGCCTGGGGCGGCGCTGGAGGCGCCACTAGGGGGTCCAGCACCGATCCAAGAAATCCTCGCGAAGCTCTGACAGTTTCTGTTCATTACGTTTTTCCCTCCCCGCCATCCCCTGGGGCCCCATCTCTGAACCGCCGATGCAGGGTTCGGGGAGACACCTCCGCAGGATGACCAGTACCTCTCCGCGCTCGTCGCGCCCAGCGCCATACGGGCAGCGTTAGGGGGATCTGCTCAGGAGGAGATGCATCGACCCCCAATCGCCCATTCAAGAGGCCTGATTGGCCTGGGTGGTTTCGATATCGGGGGCCTATCGCTGATCTATGGGCGACGTATCGCTGATTCAAGCTCGATGTTTCCCCTATGAGCGGATCCCCTTTGATTTTTGCCCCTCAGAGGCCCTGTTCCCGGCAGAGTCCTCGTCTGGCGCCCCCTCCGCGATCATCCCGTCGATTCTGTACAGCGGCGCCATGTTTCTGCGCGACGGATCTTTGGCAGGGCCTCCCAAGCAGGCCGATTTGAAGAGAGTTGTTGGGACGGGTTGGGAGGGGGAGGGGGATGAGGGGAGGGGAGAGGACCAGAAGGAAGAGAAGTGCAGGAGGGGGAGCGTGAGACTCAGAGGAGTCAAGTTGAGACAACGGCACGGGGAACCTGAAAACATCAGCGGCGGCCGGGCCCGGTTGTGTTTGCAAACTTGGGCTCTCGTTTTTTTTTCCTCAGGCGGCGAAGGAACCCTGAAAAGAGGTAGTGTAGTTGACCCTTTCTGTGTTTCCAGCCGCTTATGTTTTTTTTGTGTGGGGGGGGAGGCGCGCGCGCCCCGCCCGGATGGGCGCGGTCAGATCTTTGTTTTTCTCTTCCGCCCGCTCATGATATTTCTTCTGGACCAGCTTGTTTTGTTGTTTGGTTTGCGGCTTCGCTGGTTGTTCACTGGTCTGTGGTTTCTTTGCTCTCCCCCCCCCCGCTTCCTGTGGTTTGTTGGGCCGCCGCCAGCAACTCTTTTTGATTCGCTGCGGGCCTGCCGCTGTGTTTGTAGTTTGCGGCTTCGGCAGGGTGCTCCTTCGCCACGCCAGAACCTTTGTGTGTTTGTGTGTGTGTGTGTGTGTGTGCGTGTTTTTGTTGGCCGATTCATTGATACCAATTGTTTGGGCCGCCCCCGCCCCTCCCAGGCCACCATCATTATCTCTATTTTTCCGCTGCGGGCCAGCGCGTGACGTCTCCATGGCTGGGCTCGCCTGGGGGGCTGCTTGCCACCTCCGTTGGCGCGGCGCTGGGTTTGGGCCGGCTGAGGGCCTCGCAAGAGCATGACGGGCGCGCTGTTTTATTTTCTCTGGGGCTGGGGCCCGCTTTTTTTGGTGTTGTTGATGTTGTTGTTGTTGTTGTTGAACTCTCATTTCTGACTATTTCTTGTTTATCTCCCCTCGCCGGTGCATATTGTTTGTTCTCAATCAAAGTATGCCCCTCGACGCTCGCACCCTGTTCTTTGACAGGGGAAGTCTTGATGCTAAAACTGCGCCCCTGGCCCCCCGGATTACAACAACAACAACGGCTCCCGCGTAAGATTTCTTTCACATTTACTCAGGACCCCCGCTCCCGCCTGAGACTTCCTCACAATATACTCAGGATCGGTGCTCCAGCCTTTGACTTCCTCGCGATTTAGTCAGGACCCCCGCTACCATCTGAGACTTCCTCACAATTTACTCAGGAACAGCGCTCCCGCTTGAGACTTCCTTGTAATCGAATCAAGACTTCTTTGCAATTTAATCAAGACCCCCGCTCCCGCCAGAGAACCCTTCACATTCTATTCAGGAATTGCGCTCTCGCCTGTGACTGCCATGCAATGTATTTCACATCGCGCTTTCGACGCTCAGGAAACACGCTGCGCCAAGGACGCCGTCACAATTTACTTAGGAATCGCACTCTCGCCATACTCAGGCACCTCGCTTGAATGTCCCACCGGCCCGACCCGCCCGTCAGGGGATCGTTCGCCCGTTTTGGGCTCCCGCCCGCGACTTCCTGAAGCGGTGCTTTCGCCTAGGACTTCCTCGAACGTTCACGCTCTTGCCTTCCTGCTCCTCCTACCTCTCCCTCCTCCCTCCTCTCTCCTCTCCTCCCTTCTCTCTTTCCCTCCTCTCTTCCCTCATCCTTATGCCTCTCTGCCCTATCCCCTCCCCCTCCTCTCCCTCACGTGCACCACCACGACCCCTCTCCTGCCTCCTCCCTCCCTCTTTTTTTTGTTTCTCTCTCTCTCTCTCTTCTCTCTCTCTCTCTCTCTCTCTCTCTCTCTCCCCCCCCCCGCTCTCTCTCTCTCTATTTCTCTACCTCTCTTATAGATGTTTTTTTGTTTTTGTTTTTCTTTTTCTCTCTCTCTCTCTCTCTCTGCCTCTAATCAAACGCCCCCTGTTCGCTCCTTCTCTCCTGGCGTTTTCCCTGTTCCTTCGTCCCTCCCCTTCCCTTCCTCCCACTCTCCCTCGTTCTCCCCCTCCTCTTTTTGCAGGGCCCACACGAGTTCCAATGGCGGGCACATGTACGCCCACGAAGGATTGTCCGCCCGTTCAGGTTTGCCCGCCTGTCTAAGCCCGCCGCCCCCCGCAAAGAGACATAATCCCCCCAACGGGTGTTTCATCGAAGACAAAGAGGGCGGTTATCGAAGGTGTGGCGAAATCGTTTTGAATGTCACACGGGCAAGTAAGAACGAACAGTCATTTAATGGTTGTTGTTGTTGGTGGTGGTGGTGGTGGTGTTGTTGGTGTTGGTGTTGGTGTTGTGGTTGTTGTTGCTGTTGCTGTTGCTGTTGCTGTTGTTGTTGAGTGTCCCAACGTCATAGGGCGGGAAGCTGGGTTTGGGTGGTCGCGAAGAGTCGTTTGGATATTTGGTAGAGCTTGAACTGCCCCCCCACGAAGTGGGGGTATTGTCTCGCGTCGCATGAAAACCCTGGCACTGGTGAGAACACTGAGCGTTCGGGTAAAATGATTGTTGTTGTTGTTGTTGGTGTTGTTGGTGTTGTTGTTGGTTGTTGTTGTTTGTTGTTGTTGGTGGTGGTGGTGGTGCTGTTGCTGCTGGTGTTGTTGCTGTTGTTGTTGTTGTTGTTGTCGTTGTTGTTGTCGTCGTCGTCGTTGTCGTCGTCGTCGCCGCCGCCGTCGTCGTCGTCGTCGTCATCGTCGTCGTCGTCGTCGTACCTAGGCTCTGCCTAGCTTAAAGCTGCTAACCGCCCCGGGCGGTTCCCCCAGTCCCCGCCCCGCGGTTCCCCCAGTCCCCTGGGAGCTTTAGCCTTAGCTTTAGCTTTAGCTTAGCTTTAGCTTTAGCTTTAGCTTTAGCTCAGCTTTAGCTTAGCTGTAGCTTAGCTTTAGCTTAGCCTTAGCTTAGCTTTAGCTTTGCTTCCGCTTAGCTTTAGCTTAGTTTCAGCTTAGCTTTAGCTTAGCTTCAGCTTAGCTTTAGCTTAGCTGTAGCATAGCTCCAGCTTAGCTTTCGCTTAGGGTTAGCTTAGGGTTAGCTTAGTGTTAGCTTAGCCTTAGCTTAGCTTAGCTTTCGCTTAGCTTTAGCTTAGCTTTAGCTTAGCTTTAGCTTAGCTTTAGCTTAGCTCCAGCTTAGTGTTAGCTCAGCTTCAGCTTAGCTTTAGCTTAGCTTTAGCTTAGCTGCAGCTTAGCTTTAGCTTAGCTTTAGCTTAGCTTCCGCTTAGCTTTAGCTTAGCTTTAGAATAGCTTTAGCTTAGCTTTAGCTTAGCTTTAGCTTAGCTTTAACTTAGCTTTAGCTTAGTTTCAGCTTAGCTCCAGCTTAGCTTTAGCTTAGCTGTAGCTTAGCTTTAGCTTAGCCTTAGCTTAGCTTTAGCTTTGCTTCCGCTTAGCTTTAGCTTAGTTTCAGCTTAGCTTTAGCTTAGCTTCAGCTTAGCTTTAGCTTAGTTTCAGCTTATCTTTAGCTTTAGCTTCAGCTTAACTTTAGCTTAGCTTCAGCTTAGCTTTAGCTTAGCTTTAGCTTAGCTGCAGCTTAGCTTCTAGCTTAGCTTTAGCTTAGTGTTAGCTTAGCCTTTTCTTAGCTTTAGCTTAGTTTTAGCTTAGCCCCCAGCTTAGCTTTAGCTTAGCTTTAGCTAAGCTTTAGCTTAGCTTTAGCTTAGCTTCAGCTTAGCTTCAGCTTAGCTTTAGCTTAGCTTTATCTTAGCTTTACTGTTACTGCGAATGCTGCTTTCCTAGGGGCTCCAACTCCTAGGTAGGGTCGCACTGGGATATTTGCTGTTGTTGTTGTTGTTGTTGTTGTTGCTGTTGCTGTTGTTGTTGCTGTTGCTATTGCTGTTGTGGTTGTTTCTGTTGCTGTTGTTGTTGTGGCTGCTGTTGTTGTTCTGGCTTGTGTGGGTGAGGGCCGACGCCTTTCTCTCTGCTCTACCCTCTTTGTCGGTTGTGATTCCAGCTCCTCGTATTGCCAGCTTCCCTGCAGCTCGGCCTCTGGAGGGGCCTCGCCGCCACGGCTGGCCGCAGCCAGCAAGAGTGAAGCATTTGGACCCCGGGAGGAGCCCCGGGGACTGATTTTGAGCTCCTCCTCCTCCTCCTCCTCCTCCTTCCTCCTCCTCCTCCTCCTCC